TTGATGAGGCAGAGGGGGAGAGAGAAAATCCCAAGCAGATTCCATCCCCAGCATGGAGCCCAACACAGGGTTCAGTCTCATGACCCTGAGATCATGACCTGAGCTGAAACCATGAGTCAGATGCTTAACCGACGAAGCCACCCAGGAGCCTCTAATGTGCTCTTCTGGATTATAATTATTAAGATTTCCTGATTTTTCCTTATCTTGAATCTCATTTCATTTTCTTAAGTTTATGTTTTATTAGTAATCTCTACACCCAAGGTGGGGCTCAAACCCATGACCCCGAGGTCAAGAGTCATCCTCTTCTCCAGCTGAGCCATTTATTTTTCTAAATGGACTGACTTTATAATTTTTTTAACTCTATTATTTACTCATTCACATTCTCACCCATTTTCACTTGATTTCTTAATCCTTTTTTTGTTGATTTGTAGGATTTTTAAATTAAAGATAGTAACCTACTATACATAGTAAACAATTTCTGTTGCTTATTTAATGTTCTGTTATCTCTCCTATAGAAATTACCAGTGTTTATATAGTAAATATTGGTCAGATGTCATCTTCATGGCATTTTTGATTTTTGTCATGCTTAGGAAGATTTTTCCATGCCAAGATTTTGAGGATATTCCTTTGTATTTTATTTTGGTACTTTTTATTGTCCTATTTTTAACATTAAGATCTGTTCATAATCTGGATTTTTGTATGTGTATGTGTAGTGCAAACCAGGAAACTGTTTTTATTTCTGAAACAAGAGCTAAGTTTTTGATCTCATTTACCTCATTCATCCTTCTCCCACTAATTTCATATGCCAGCTTTAAAATAAACAAAAACTTCCAGTTGGATGAGTCTTTTTTTTATAACTTTCTTCTCTCTGTTTGGTTAATCTTTTGATCTGTTTATGAAACAATACTACATTATAAATCACTCTGATGTGTTCTTTTATCTGCTGGGGTTGGGCAAGTTCTCCTCATCAAATGTTTGTTTAGTTTTCCAGAAGACCTTGAAAGTCAGCTGGTCAAGTTCCACCAAAAAGTATTGTTAGGATTTTTGATAGAGGTTCCAATATTAAATTTAGGGATTAAATTGAGAAGAGTGGACTTTATGTTATTTGAATTTTCAAAATAAGTCTTATACTAACACATACACTGCTTCTTTCCCACTTCAGAAACTGTCGTATGCTTTCCCTCACAAATTAGTAGTGTCTCAGGGCTGACAAAATATTGAGTATTTTGACAGATTTTTTTTAATATATATTCATTAAGAAAGGATCCTTTTCTCTTAGTTTGCTGAGAGTTCTAATTCTTACATGGTAATATTAAATTTTATTAAATGGCATTCTCTGTATTAATTATAACTTTTTCCCTTTGACTCATCACTGTGATGATAGATATTACTAGTCCTTTTATAGTGAATCATGCCTGCATTTCTCAAATAAGCCCTACCTGATTGAGGTATTTTATTTTAAATTACTATAAGTTGTAGCTTGCTAAACTTTTACTAAGGAATTACTTCAATTATCTTCTGCAGCATGACAAACCACCCAAAGTCAGTGGCTTAACAACAGTTTATTACTGTTTTTCTTGGTTTTGTATGTTGGCCAGACTTAGCTAGAGAATCTTTGCTCGAGGACTTATGTGGGTGCTATTACATGTTGACTGGAACTGTGATCATTTGAAAGCCTGACCTCTTGGCATCCAAGATGGTTCCCTTCTGGCAGTCAGTGTTGACTGTTGGTTGGGAGATCACCTGGGATTGTTGACTGGGAATGTTAACTCTCGATGCACATGTGATAGCTGGGCTCACAGTATGCTAAGGACAAGCATTTCAAGAATGAAATGGAGGAAGCTGCAAGACTTCTCATGACTGGGCCTTGACGTTTCAAGAAGTCATTTTCATTGTATTCTGTTAGTAAACTAAATTATTAAGTCCAGCTCAGATTCAAGGGGAAGAGGATTATATTCCGTCTCTTGCTGTTCAGAGCTACACATGCACGGGTTGTTGCTTGGGGCAGCAATCTTTGGAGACAGTCCTTTGGCCCCCAAAATTTACATCCATCTTGCATGTTCTCACTTCCTCTCAAGACCCCAGAGTGTCACCTCGTCACCTCCTTATGGCATCAAATTTGACACCTCCCTCTGGTCATCTAAATCAGGTCTACTATGGATGAGGCTTCAGTGTGGTTCTTCAAATATAGCTCTTCTCCATGTGAGGACCAGTGCGCTAATGGGGCAAGTTTTGTACCCCTCCACCCAGTAATGAATATACAATGGTGAATAGTGGTAGGATAATTATGGCAGATCCTTCGTTAAAAAGGGAGAGGAATGCAAGGTGCTTAACAGTCTCTGGTACATAGCAATTATGAAGTCCATCGGGACACCCGTTACCTGTTCCTTGAGTAGTGGCCCCATCTCATCCCTGTGAGTTGGTCTCTGTGGCTCTTTGTCCACACCCTGAGCTGTCCTTCCTTTGATATAAGAAATAGCCAGATTTTGCAGTTGAACAGCTTTCTTAGTCCTCTACATACCAGTGGATAATTGGGGACAGAAAGATCTCTTCATCTGAACTTTCTCCCTTCCCCTCCAGTCTTGTACAACTCTCTTAAAAACGGGTGTGGGCGTCCTTTGTCTCTATAAATCTCCTGCATTAGACAGACAGAAGCCACTCCCATAGACCTCTCCTAATCTCCTTTTACTGTGGCCTGAAAGTGCTGTGGGATAGCATCCTTCAGGTTCTTGAAAACGTTCTCGTCTAGCAGAGAGTCTAAGAGACATAACGTTAAGATTCTTGGAAGCTGTTGTTTTTTTTCTGAGAGGTTCTCTGAAGATGTGCCCTTACATCTTCCTGAGGTATCATTAAAGAGTCCTCTTGACTTCATCTTTACTGTGATTATTGTAAGAATGTTTTGTGACTGGAAAGACTGTCCTGAGCCCTTTCTCTTTTGTTTTTTTCTAAATTTTGCTAAAAACCTCAATAGTTCTCCTTTTTAGCTCATTTCTCTATATCCATACCTTGTCGTATGCATCTGAAAGGAACCAGTGAGTACCAGTGTTACCCAAGTTCCATAGCTTCCAGTGACAGTTTCCTTACTGCCCTTCAGATCCTCACTAGCAATCTCCTTAAGGCCTTTACACGTCCCACCTGCACCCAGTCCTAAAGCCAGGGCTATGTGTTCCAGATTTTTTATCATGGTAGTGCCTCATTTTCACTTACCAATTTCGGTTCTGATCCTATCACTCCACTAAACTATGGGGGCCTAAAACAAATAGGTATGTTATTTTACTAATGATTTTGTGGGACAGAAATTCAGGAAAGGTTCGACTGGATAGATCATCTCTTTTTGATATGGCATCAGCTGCTTCACCCACGTATCTTACTATCTGGTGTCTGTCTCTCCTAGATGGTGTTTCGTCCTCCAGAGCCTCTGCATGTGGTGGTTTCAGGATAGTCACACTTCTTTTCAGGGTCTCAGGAGAGTCACAACTTCCACAAAGCGAGAAGTAGAAATCACCAGGCTAATTATGGGCCATGCCTGGAACTAGCAAAGTGTTATTTCTGCCATAATCTGCTGGTCAGAGGAGCTGAAAGGCCAACCCAGACTCTAAGTGGATAGAGAAATAGACTCTTATTCATAACGGGGTGGGGGGAGCAGAAGGTCAGGTCAGGTTGTCGAAGAGCATATGAAATGGGAGATGTTATGATCATTTTTAGGAAACACCATCAGCCACATGATTTTTAGAAATTATTTTGATTTGTCACTCCTGTGTGTGTGAGTATGTATGTGTGCTATTTTGTCAAATATGGTTATCAAGAGTATATATGTTTTGTAAAAATTTGAATTAGGAAGCTATCTCCCTCTGCCCCCTCCCAGGACTAATTCAAGTAGATTAAAATTAACCTATGTGTTTAAAGTTTAAAAGATTTCTTTTTTAATTTTTAATTAATTTATTTGAGAGAGAGAGAGAGAGAGAATGTTGGCATGTAAGTTGGGAAGGGCAGGGAGAGGGAGAGAGAGAATCTTTAAGCATACTCCCCCGCTGAGTGGGAGCCTGATGCAGGGCTCGATCCCAGGACCCTGAGATCATGACCTGAGCCGAAATCAGGAGTCCGATGCTCAACCGGCTGAGCCACCTAGGTGCCCCAAGTTTAAAAGATTTCTTTCATGAAACTGCCTAAATTGCCTATACCAGGAAACTTAAAATTTTAACAGTGTTTAAAAAGTCCTTCCCCAATTTGAGAACATTTGAATATTTATCCACATTTCCTATGTGTTCTGGTTTTTCTGTTGTACAGTAATTCTTTAGTTTCTCTAGAATTATATTGACTATTTAGATAATAATCCCTCCCTGCTCATTTGCATCGCAGCCTTTATCATGTTCTAGAATTTCTGTTATTTTCATATTGATACATAAATTCTTTTCCATACTATGTGTTTAATTATTGTAGCTCTGTCCCAAGCACCTTGAGAATGTGGAAGTAAATGTTCACTAAATGTTCATACCTATAAAATGTGAGTAAATGCCATCTGATCCACACTAAGGATGTATGATTTTAGACTGTTGAGAGAAAGTTTTTAAAATCCTATTAAGAATTTGTTTAATGTAGAATTTAGCCAAAAATCTTTGGGCTAAATTGTGTTTTCTAAAAAGGAAGAGAAATAAATAGAAGAAATACCAATACTCACAGTTTTATACTTGTGAACATGACTTTCAAATATATAGTTTGATTCCTGGAGGTCTTTCAGAAGGAAAAAATTAATAAAAGCAGTAATTAGATGCATTTACCATTGAAGATGGTACAAACTTTACAAAAGTAGACTTAAGTAGATACTAGTTAAGAGTTGTTACAGTTTATTAAAGAAAGCTATTTGTGGAATAGATCTAGAAATATTTAAGTTTTGAACCATTTAAATTTTGAATCATATGGTTAATAAATTGCTTTGAAATGTATTATTTAACAAAATAAATCTTTTATTTTCACTAATCTAGTTTGTTTTTGTTTTCCAGATATTGTTTTGTGTTTGCTTTGGGATACCTCACAGTGTGCCAAATTACTAGAGTCTATATCTTTGATTATGGACAATATTCTGCTGATTTTTCAGGGTAAGATGAACACTTTGACTCAGTAGCCTGTTTTATCTATTCTAACATATTGGTGAGAAGACAACATACAGTTGCATTAAGTAGTTCAAATGAAAAGTGATTGACAAACATTTTGGTTGGAAATTCCTTTATGAATTTAGATATTTTCTTTTTTTAAAAAATTATTTAAGAGAGAGCATGTGCACATGCACCACGCAGGTGAGCGTTAAGTTGGGGGAGGGGCAGAGGGATAGAGAGAGAAAGAGAGAGAGAAAATCTCCAGCAGAACTCTGAAATCATGACTTAAGCCGAAATCAAGAATTGGATGCTTAACTGATGGAGCCAACCCAGGTGCCCCAAATTTAGACATTTTCTTATGAAGTGGTCTTTTATGGTTCTGTGTAAGTCACAAAAATAACCTGTCTTTTTAAGTTGACTTATATACACTTTCCAATATGTAGCAATTAAATTTGTTGTATGGGATTCTGATACTGGAAGCATTCTCTAACTTTATGGAAATTTCTGCCATCAGTTTTAACTATTGAAAGCCAGCCCCCTGGAGTTTGTGTCTTTGACTCTGTTTCTTTCTTCTCCTGAGAGTCTTCTGTACAGTCATTTACCAGCTTCTGTATACGATCTGATCACTTTTTCTTGCTACTTTTTTTTTTAAGATTTTATTTATTTATTCATGAGAGACACACAGAGAGAGAGAGAGAGAGAGAGGCAGAGACACAGGCAGAGGGAGAAGCAGGCTCCATGCAGGGACCCTGATGTGGGACTCAATCCTGGGTCTCCAGGATCATGCCCTGGGCCGAAGGCAGATGCTCAACTGCTGAGCCACCCTGGCACCCCTTCTTCTTGCTTCTTAACACCCCTGAGACTTTTTTTTTGGACCAGAGGTCCTTGGCCTAGCTTTGTCTTCTGAATATCCTAGAGAAGACACTTGAGCATGTATTTTACTTGTGTGCATTTCACTTTTATGGAATGTTCTACATTCTTATGTCTAGTATTCAACTGAGTCATGGAAATAACTTCTGCCTTTTTAAAGTTCTTTCAAAGGGAAGGTAGTCCCTCCATGGTACTCTATGTCCTGTAACAAAACTGATTAAATGCTCCAAGATAAATGTAGTCCAAGTCCCTAAGAGCTAACGTGCGCACCATCTTTATAAAGGGACCTCGGCTAAGGATGAACAAAGTGGAAAAAATAAAGTATATCATGGCACGTATGGAAAAAAAAGTTACTCAACATTAGAAATGGACCAAAGTTGTATAAGCTTAGAGAAAAATTACTGCTATGGAACAAGAGAATTTTAGAAGATGAAATTTCTTTTTTCCTTAATGGGATTCAAGTAGGTTTTACTTTTAAAAACTGATTTATTATTATTAAAGATTGTATTTATTTATTTGAGAGAGAGAGAGAGAGTGCAAGCAGGGCAAGCAGCAGGCAGAGGGAGAGGGAGAAGCAGACTCTGCATTGAGCAGAGAACCCCATGTGGGACTTGATCCCAGGACCCCGGGATCATGACCTGAGCCAGAAGCAGATGCTTCACTGACTATGCCACCCAGGAGCCCTTAAAAACTGATTTAAAAAATAGACTTAAACGAAAGGAGGCTGCATACAAAAGAACAAACACAACCCAGCCGAAATGAACTGATTAATACACTAAAAAAACTCCTTAAATTAGTGATATATTGGGTAGAATAGAGAAATGTACCTGGAATTCAGAAAAGGAGACTAGATGCTGGCAATCTGGCTTATAAATAATAGATATTCTTGCAGAAAAAGAGCTAATGGACAGAATCAGTGAATATATTGGGCCATTAAAAATCTTTGGAATTTGAAGATGTAAGCCAGGTCACAGGTTGTCATTAGGGTATAATGAAAGTAGGAACAAGTTGTGAATGTTTACAACAGTTAAGGCCACTTAGTTTAATCTTCCTGGGTGCAGTTACCCTACTGGTCTTGTTCATTGGGGGGTATCCTTAGTGCTTAGCACGTAGTGGTGTTAAATAGACACTGAAACAATAATAATACTACTTAGTAAAGAAGAAGGTAGAAAATACACCAAGAAGAATGAGGGGAAATAACAATCACAGTGCAGAAAAACCTGAGCCATGTGGGTGAAGCTGTGCTATCTAAGAGATAAATTCATAGCTTTAGTGCTTGCATTATAATGAATTTAGAAATGAATTAAGCATTTAGTATGAAATTGAAACATAAAGAATACTGTTGACTAATTCAGTCTATGCATGTTGATAACAGAAATGTTAACATTAGCAGCTGGAAGTTAACACTGTAAACCATGAATTTGCAAATTGCCTTCTTGAGTTCTCAGATACACTAGCCAAGTACCGGGTAGGGGCTAACCAGGTGAGGTACCCTCTGACCACAACTGCTCTGTGTCTCTAGCTTATATTTTGGGATTCCACATAATACTTCATTTAGAAATACTGTGCTGCTTATATTTTTAAATTGTCAGATTTCAAAAGTAATTAACATAGCTAAATTGAGCTCACGAATGTGGTTGGCATGAGTACAGATTTGCAGAACACGGTGTTTCCTGGGTCCTCCTACCCTCCCCCCCTTTGGTTTGATCTTAGTAGTTAACTTTCTTATTTCTGGTACCTGATATTCTAAACTCTTGTTTACTACTAGTCTCTAGCTGGGGAGAGGCTAACTGCTGTTAGAACAACAGCACAACTTCAGTGGCTCAGCATAATACATACTTATTTCTTAGTCCACTGAGGAGGGAGCCTTTGCTTCACACAGTCATTTAGGGAAGATTCTTGGGGCTTCACCTCCTTCAGCATCTCAGGAATCCTCTTGGTGAACAGTGAACGGAGGCCCTGTTGATGAGCAAACGGAGAGTGCATGCGTCCTCACCACTGCTGCTTACTTCCTATTGGAAAGGACTCTGTACGTGGCCCACAAATTAGGGGGTAGTTTTGCAGTAAGAGCAACATGCATGCTTAAAAATAACTTTATATGACATGGCTTTAAGTATTTTGCTGAGACTTAAAATGTCATTTAAATATTTAAGTATAATTTAAAATGTTTATGTGGAAGAAAAACAACATAGCATGTTAAAGATGGACAACCTGATATAAAACTCCCAGTTTAATGTATAATTTTTATCCATTAGGAGGAAGCATTTGACCATCACCAGTAAACTGATAAAGATTAGGCAAAGACAAATTAGCTGAAGGAGGCCATCTGACCGAACTAAGTTGAAGGATTTTTTTTTTTTTAATTGGACACAGGACAGAGAAGAAGCCACCTAGAGGCAGACTCTTCCCCTAATGAAATATTTAGGTGTTTAGAAGTCCTGAATGTATTTAACACATGAGCATAAAAGATGCTAACTTGATCCTAATTAGGGTAAATATCCAAAATGCATGATGTCTGCAGAAGGTAGTATTGAATACAGTGAACCATCCTTTATCCTTAGCGCTCCTGCAGCCCTGAAACTGGCAGCACAGAAAGCAAAGCCAGGCTCTTGCTGAGGAATCACATGGGGGCTCTTTTGTACAGGGCAATCTTACTTGCATGATATATGGGAAACTGTGTGTGTGTGTGTGTGTGTGTGTGTGTGGCGCGCTGCGCGTGTGTAGTTAGGCATGAGTTCAAGATGTATTTAAAATGTCAATCAGATAAAAGGGACTTGCTTTTTTTAAAAATTAATTTATTTATTCGAGAGAGAGCGCAAGTGATGAGGAGGGGCAGAGGGAAAAGCAGACTCCCCACTGAGCAGGGACCCCAATGCAGGACTCGATCCTAGGACCCTGAGATCATGACCTGAGCTAAAGGCAGGCACATAACAGATGAGCCCCCCAGGTGCCCCTAAGGGACTCATTTCTTAGTAGAAGTTTCTTTTCACAGAAAGGTTGAGAAGCTACTGAAGTCTTGACTTTTGTGCTAGCCTCAGAAAATAGGTACAGGAAAAGTATAAAATAATTAATTAGCTGCCTTTTATATCAGCAATAACCAGTTAGCAAATATAATAGTTAAAGGATCCTAGTTTCACAAGCAGTTAAAACTCTGGTATGTCTAGGAATACATGTAAAAAGAAATGCACAGGACCTCTGTAGAAGACAATAAAACTTTACTGTAGGATATGAAAGGACACTAACTGGAGAAACATCTTGTTATTCAGATGGCAAAATTCAGTATTATAAAGATAATAATTCCTTTCAGGTTAATCTGTAGGTGTCATGCAGTTCTAGGTGGGGTGTTGAGGGACATTGGATGAACTGAAAAGTTTCTCTAGAAGTTTGAGCGCGTGCAAGTAGCAATTTCAGTACAAAACACTACTGTTTGTCAAGTAGCAGTCACTTAAATATTACAGGACTAACAGGAATCATAAAGCCAGGGCAGAGAAACGGCCCCATGGGATCTGAGAAATAAAGGTACGGAATAGAAGTGGTGGGATTATAGATCCAGTGGGGAAAGCTCTTCTTGATTATTCAGTAAATGGTATTGAGACGGAAGAATGAAAGGTAAATCCTTGCCTTCTTTGTAGATAAATAACTTGTAGATGGAAGTGAGAACAGATTTTTTTTTTTGGCAGGAAGGTGATGAGTTCTGATGTCGATTTTTATGGTGCTAAAGGGATAGCTTAATGCATCCACCAAACGAGATGTACATGACATAATTTTCCATTCGGATTAAGGATGTGTTTTAGAGCTAACCACGTAGTATCAGATGCTCAGCAAACATTTTGTTACTGCTTACTCCTGTGTGTTCATTCAGCTAGGATTTATGGAGCACATGCTGTACATTTTGTTAGGTGCGAAGTACTTTTGTAGGTGACAGTCCTGTCCAGCATAAGGGACAGACCATTTGGTCTAAAAGCTATAGGTGTGATTGCTAGATGCACCTCATTTATTTATTTATTTATTTATTTATTTATTTATTTATTTATTTATTTATTTATTTATTTATTTATTTTTTCAGACGGGGAGGGGGGTACAGAGGCAGAGGGAGAGAAAGAATCTTAAGCAGGTTACACCCACAGCAGGAA